AAGCTTGTAAAATAACAGTAGACTAGGAGTGTTATGACAACACCTGTTCCACCTGTCGCCATCTTGGCCTCAGCCAAGTTTCTTACCAGACAGGCACTTTGACCAACTAAGCCACAGTGCCAACGCTGAACAGGTGGCAAGACGTTTTTGCAGACAGAGACTAAAAAAAGACAGCAAGTCTTAAAATGGCAAGCAAAGAGGTTGTTTAACTCTATTTGTCGCACTATTCATTACGCCTTAAAGCTATACAATTTTATAATTCATTCCGGTAAGCTCTATAAATCGAGCACACGCACCACCTGGACTAAGGTGCTGCTGGGATTTGAGCCCAGGATCTCCTGTTTACAAAACAGGCGCTTTGACCAGCTAAGCCACAGCACCACAGAAAATCACAGTAAGAGACATTTGCCCGATAACAAAAATCGAAGAAAAAATAATACACAACAAAAACCAGCATGTCAGGATGCAGAAAATGCTGACAAGACTGACGCGGTCTTTTAGAGTCTGGATGATCATGTCTCAAACCTGACCGGTAACCTGGCCTCTGTTCAAGATCAAAGCAAAAAGTGCATGAATTTATTTTTATTTAATCTATCCTAAATCATGTGTTAAGTGTTTTTTGGTACCTCCAGTTTTATTACATCCAAACCCAGAGTCAGCTCGGAAAATATAAAAATCAGGACAAACATATGCTATCGGCCATTGGAAGAGTTTCAGATCAGAAAGCCACTCTCCCATAATCTGAGGGAAAGGTGCAGTTTGGATTTGAACCTAGCACCTGCTGTTCCCAAGACAGGTGCTCTGGCCAACTTAGTCTTAACACTAAAAGAAAAAACCTCTGGATACGATACTTCCAAACGCAGTTTCATCTAAGACAGTGGGGGGTAAGCAAAATTTACTGTGCTTTCTACTCAGTTAATTTGCACATGCATAAAGAGGCTCTTGTACGACAAATCCAAAAGACGTGATCTCAACAATAGGTGGCAGTTACTTTTCCCCAAAACCACAGGTTGCCGACGAGTCATTCCTCAAGCCCACTAGGCCCTACATCGTTTTCTAATCTCCCTTATTTAAAACAGCTCAATTAAGTCTTTGGCTTTATTGTAGAGTACCCCTAGTATCTGAGCCTGCACTGCGCAATGAAAGAAAACCCACAACCTTTGAATGGCTCAGCTCACAGCCTAGAAGTCCAATGCGCTATCCATTGCGCCACAGAGCCTAAGTGCTCTGCTTTCTGTAGCACTTTTGCACAGAAAGCACTTTTTAGTACTCTCTGGCCCATGAAAGTACAGCCAACGGTGGACATGGCACTGTTGGGAATCGAAGCCAGGATCTCCTGTTTACTAGACAGGCACTTTGACCAACTAAGCCACAGCGCCAAACAACCTTGACAGGGGCTAATTGTTTAATTCCAAAAAATAAAAAAAAACTAACAACGGTAGCGCTGCATGTGGGAATGTCTGGACTTGAAATATTAAAGTCCAATTGGTTAGGCAATACCACACTATGCTACATAAAGCCATCGTCCAAAGCCCTCTTGAACGAGCAGCGTTCTTAAGGATTTGAGTTTTGTTAAGAAACCGACTGCTAAACATCCCGCTGCGTAAACACTCGTTACTCTTAACAAAAAGCAAACATGAAACCTGTACATTAGGCACTGCTGAGATTTGAACCCAGGATCTCCTGTTTACTAGAAAGGCGCTTTGACCAACTAAGCCACAGCGCGAACGCTGAAAGTCAAATTGTTTTTGCACACAGAGACTAAAAAAAGACAGCAAGTCCTAAAATGGCAAGCAAAGAGGTTGTTTAACTCTATTTGTCACACTATTCATTACGCCTCAAAGCAATACAATTTTATAATTCATTCCGGTAAGCTCTATAAAACAAGCACACACACCACCTGGACTAAGGCACTGCTAGGATTTGAGCCCAGGATCTCCTGTTTACAAGACAGGCACTTTGACCAGCTAAGCCACAGGGCCACAGATATTCACAGTAAGAGACATTTGCCTGATAACAAAAATCGAAGAAGAAAAAATAATACACAACAAAAACCAGCATGTCAGGATGCAGAAAATGCTGACAAGACGGACGCGGTCTTTTAGAGTCTGGATGATCATGTCTCAAACCTGACCGGTAACCTGGCCTCTGTTCAAGATCAAAGCAAAAAGTGCATGAATTTATTTTTATTTAATCTATCCTAAATCATGTGTTAAGTGTTTTTTGGTACCTCCAGTTTCATTACATCCAAACCCAGAGTCAGCTCGGAAAATATAAAAATCAGGACAAACATATGCTATCGGCCATTGAAAGAGTTTCAGATCAGAAAGCCACTCTCCCATAATCTGAGGGAAAGGTGCAGTTTGGATTTGAACCTAGCACCTGCTGTTCCCAAGATAGGTGCTCTGGCCAACTTAGTCTTAACACTAAAAGAAAAAACCTCTTGATACGATACTTCCAAACGCAGTTTCATCTAAGACAGTGGGGGGGAAGCAAAATTTACTGTGCTTTCTACTCAGTTACTTTGCACATGCATAAAGAGGCTCTTGTACGACAAATCCAAAAGGCTTGATCTTAACAATAGGTGGCAGTTACTTTTCCCCAAAACTACAGGTTGCCGACGAGTCATTCCTCAAGCCCACTAGGCCCTACATCGTTTTCTAATCTCCCTTATTTAAAACAGCTCAATTAAGTCATCGGCTTTATTGTAGAGTACCCCTAGTATCTGAGCCTGCACTGCGCAATGAAAGAAAGAAGCAAAAGGGGATGGACAGATGCCTAAAATGTTAGAAACGCACCACACCTTAAGTCAGTTAAGAAAAAGAGCAAAGCTTGCAACTCTGGTGGGACTCGAACCCACAACCTTTGAATGGCTCAGCTCACAGCCTAGAAGTCCAATTTGTCCAATGCGCTATCCATTGCGCCACAGAGCCTGAGTGTTCTGCTTTCTGTAGCACTTTTGCACAGAAAGCACTTTTTAGTACACTCTGGCCCATGAAAGAACAGCCAACGGCGGACATGGCACTGTTGGGAATCGAAGCCTGGATCTCCTGTTTACCAGACAGGCACTTTGACCAACTAAGCCACAGCGCCAAACAACCTTGACAGGGGTTAATTGTTTAATTCCAAAAAATAAAAAAAAACTAACAACGGTAGCGCTGCATGTGGGAATGTCTGGACTTGAAATATTAAAGTCCAATTGGTTAGGCAATACCACATTATGCTATATAAAGCCATCGTCCAAAGCCCTCTTGAACGAGCAGCGTTCTTAAGGATTTGAGTTTTGTTAAGAAACCGACTGCTAAACGTCCCGCTGTGTAAACACTCTTTACTCTTAACAAAAAGCAAACATGAAACCTGTACATTAGGCACTGCTGAGATTTGAACCCAGGATCTCCTGTTTACTAGACAGGCGCTTTGACTAACTAAGCCACAGCGCCAACGCTGAAGGTCAAGATGTTTTTGCACACAGAGACAAAAAAAAGACAGCAAGTCTTAAAATGGCAAGCAAAGAGGTTGTTTAACTCTATTTGTCACACTATTTATTACGCCTCAAAGCTATACAATTTTATAATTCATTCCGGTAAGCTCTATAAAACAAGCCCACGCACCATCTGGACTAAGGCGCTGCTGGGATTAGAGGCCAGGATCTCCTGTTTACAAGGCAGGCGCTTTGACCAGCTAAGCCACAGCGCCACAGATATTCACAGCAGTCTGGTGGGACTCAAACCCACAACCTTTGAATGGCTCAGCTCACAACCTAGAAGTCCAATGTGCTATCCATTTTTTTTTTATCAGAAAAATTTTTCAAATTTTACAATACATACATTTAAAAACATTTAAAACATCAGTTCAGAAGCATATTAAAATATCATTTACAAACATTTCTTAAGACATTATGTTGGTATCAAAACAGGAAAACAACAAGCATAATCATTCTGGCAAATCTATTTTTAAACCATCTATTGAGTACATAATATAAGGAGTATTCAACATAAACGTTTTGTAAAATCTAGTCTCTTTTTCTTGCATTCTAAAATATTGTTCCACAGTTTTTATATAGTTTTCCAGTTTTCTTTTATACATTTTCCATAACTCTATTTTAGCATTTTTATTTTTCACAACGTTTCTTCTTTCCCAATTACAGTTCTTGCAACTGATAGAAACAAATTGGCAATTCTTGTTTTACTTCCATTAAAACCAAATAAAAATATTTTATACCATTCTGTCTCCTCCTCAATCTGCTCTGTTTCACTTGGCATCATTTGTTTCATCATTTCTTTTAACTTTGCCATAAATGTATTTAATTCAACACATTTTAAAAACAAATGCATAATACCGTCATTTTCAATACCACATATTTTGCATAATGCATTCTCACTGCTTCCAATTTGTGCCAGTTTTGTTTCAGTGAAAATAAAATTATGTCTGATAAAATAATCCAACGTTTCAATTTTTACGTCTAAATATTTCCATTTTAAATTCTTCCAGATTCCCTCTTCATCTATATCCACAAAGATTTTTTTTCCAAAATTGTTATGCACTTTGTTTCTGAAACAAATGTAGAAATTTTAGAGAACACATTCTTGAAAATCCTTCTCATTTTCCTTTAAAATCACTTTCACATTATCATTGCTTTCATTATTTTGTTCAATTTTAACTATCCATTCTTTAGGTATTGCACTTTTCACTATTTCAAATTGTTTTACCAGAGTTTCTCTTTTGATATCTTCCCCAATCTCATCCATGGCATCCACAATTACTTGGTTGGTAAAAACTCTTCTTTAATCTCATATAAAACATCCTTAACCTGACAAACACCTGCTTCCAACCAATATTTAAAAGATACTTCTTTCTCTTGTGTTAAAATATTAGCATTTAAAAACAAAGG